TTACTTTGTTTGAAGAAGTCACCGCGAGCTAAGGAGAAACAATTCGCCTCTATGGTACAAAAAGCTATTAAGATTATGATAGTCAGCTGAGAAATTAGTACGTTATTTTAACAGATTTATCTCTTTGAAGAAGTCTTCCAACTATTTTAATAATAAGGCCACAAGGATTGTAAATAAATAAATAAATCAAATAATAAATCAATAATAAATAAATCATTAACTAACTGTACTGTTATTTCAGAGGGTTTAATCTGTTTCAATTCCTTGCAAAATTTGTGTAAGATGATTTTCGAGATAAATGCCCCAGTATTTTAGCGGTAACTTTCGAAAAGAGATGAAACCACGGTTCACAGTAGAGATAGTTAGTCTGAAGGGAACATTAGGTTATGTATTTTAGGTAAGCAGTGAAAGTACAGTGCCATATGGTTACGGTTGAATTTGAGTGGTGTTTCTGTGAAGATGAAAAACTTGGGATCCAAGTAGTCATGTTGGACAGTACCCTATAAAAGTGATCGAAGTTTTTGGACAAGAAATTAGATAAGGTCGGTATGTAGTAGGAGAGAGAATATGTGGAACTAGTTCTATCCGTTGTTATAATCTAACTTATTTATAATCACCGTGGCATTGCCTTTATCACTTAATTTCACTTTCCATAACCGCTTCTTCTTTCGGGTCGCAGGGGGTCAGAAAGTGCTTGCTGATCCTATGTCAGAGTCTGAAATGCACTTCATCAATGCACTTGCCCTGGGTTAATTTTGGCCTCTGCTACTTTTTCTGCCGGTGAACTCGGCAAAAAGTAGTTGCTTTACCTTCTTTTGATCTTTTTCTATCTTTTACATTTATTGAGCAATTGACCTCAAGAGGTCAACCGTACACAGAGCCGAAAAAACTCGTGGCATTAATTTTTTGCAGAGTTTTTTTCCGGCTCGCGTTGGTTGTTCCATTGAAATTCTTGAATTCCTACTACTATGGTGTGGCTGACACTAGAGGGTAGGATATATGCAGTTGAATATATGTAGGATACCGCAAATAAACGCTGTTATTATGGGTTTCTAGTAAACTGATAGCTTCCATATGTGTATGATACTTGATTCTGTAACATTGTAAGGAATTACTGTCGCTCATATGCCATGTTATGAAACACCGAGTGTCAGAGCCAGTCGAAGTTTGGGTAGGTCATTTCGTCAGGCAACCACGAACTTGAAAACTGGCAACCGGTTATCTTCCCTTTAAACGATAGAAGGCAGTGTGAAAATTTTTAATTTTATTTTTTGTGAGATCTGTGTAGACGTTGTTCGCCATTTTTCCGTCATTTTCACTTACCTGTATATTATTCTGGCTGTTCGAATTGCTTCACAGTCAGAATCAGAACCTTGCTCACCATCCAGAGCAGCAATGATCGTTTCATTGACGTTTCTAGAAAGTTCGTCCCTGATCGAGTTTGATGTTACGCCGGCCACTTGTTGATTCGCCATCCACTTTCCACACGCGTATTTGTAGAAATTCTGGCACGGGTTGGTCGACCTGTCGATGCTTGACCATTGCATCGAGGCTGCTAGCTCTTCTCCGACCAAGTCGTCGTTCGTCGCGAAGCCGACTAACATCCCTGCTAAAAGAATAACCACCAGCAGGCATATGACGGCATACTGGAGCATCACCGACGCTTTGTTTCCGTGCTTCAGTTTCTTATTCATCAGTGATCAAAGAAAGGTTCTTGTTGTAAAGGACAGACGTGAACTAAACGCGTACTTTACGAGCACAAAGGCGACTGTTACATGCTACGTTATCCGTTGTGAGCAGCATCCGACGCTTAGCAAACAGCTGAAGAAGAAATCTTTATCGCCTGAGGACAGCTTATGGCGAAAGAAATAAAGTACAAATGAGTAAAGATTGCAAAAGTTTTCGCTTCTTTAATTACGCTCTAGTAGGTTAACTATTCACGTCCTTCCGTCCTATGGTTACGGTTCAGTATATTAAGTAATATTAGTGCTTCGTTTATAGCTTAATCCGTATCCTGTTTCGCAGTCCACATCCACTATTAAACGAAGTGGAAAGGAGACAAGTGTGTAACCGTTGAATTATCGGCCTTCTATACACTTTCATGATGGGGCCATTTTTGGTGCTCTTCTTCTCGCGAAGTTAATGGTGAGGTCTTGATTTCCATTTTTATTTCATCTGCCACCAGCCCTTTAATACAGTATTGACAACAACTAGTTAGCAAGCCCAGAGTGGTACTCATCAACTATTGTAGGAAGAAAGGAGAGTAACTCGACAGCAGTTCGAACCCAGTACCTCTCGGTTTTGAGTCAGACGCTCCTCCGACTGTGCAACCCCAGTCTAAACGAAGTTTACCATTGAAAAATATGAACTTGATAAATCGATACAATTGATGTAGTTTACATAACAAAGATAAGTTATCGCCAAGTTACAGAAAACAGGGATGAAAAAACTTAGAAGTACACAAGAAACGTCCGCAACACCCGTAAGTGTGCAACCTTGTTAATGATATATGCTGCATTTTAGAGTGAGTAAATTTACAACAGATGTCATCCTCTGTTCAGTCATATAACAGTCGTGATGCATGGCTTTAGAGAACGTTTTTTATATCTAGAGTATTTAGGTAGCGCGAATGGTAACGTGTTGTCATTCTTAGAACCTTATTCATTATACATACGTGTTCATGGCTTTGTCCAGGAGACTCCTCACCGATGAGGCCTAATGAGGAGAATGACAACTTTAGGTGAATATGCATTACATTATTTTTGGAAATTCCAGTTTGTGGCGTCGAACTGCCTAATCCAGCTTATTTTTATGATGTGACTTTGTTTGGCTTATAATTGCTCCCCACTGTATAAACAGTTCTGCCAGCCTTAGTTACTTGATTATAGTTAATCGTATTTTTTGGATGTCACTGGCATGCCTTCAGTGCTAATTTAGCGGATATGGAATGTGCATTGCATCATTACTAATTCTATATATTATGCTCTATCGCACTTTGTTCGTAGCCCCACAGAATCTTTACAACTCGGAATTTCTATAAATTTCGAAATTTGAACATAATCGATTACTTTCGACTTTTTCTACTTTTTCCGCTAGAACACAGGTGAAAAATAAACGATTACGTATGGAGATCAAAGATCGCTGACTCGATCTTTGAAACCTACAATCGATTGACATTATAAAAATTGTTAGTGTCAAAGTGTATTTTTTATTTGAAACTTTTCTTACTTGACCGAGTAACGAAAATATCGAACAGTTTTGTCACTAACTGCCAGCATCGACTTTCAGATCTACCCTTAAGCCAAAGGAACAGCTAAGCTAAAGTAGAATCTACCTTCATCTTCCTCATTATCACCCCCTATTGATCCGTTGTTGAATGAATGTCTCTCGAAGACTTTGCCACATCATTCTAATTTTGTGCAGTTCTTATCCGTGTTGCTATAAGTAATATGTCCAACTAATTCTGTCATCGACCTGGGAAATCTTCCCATGGGCCAGGCACTGTAACCTCTAACAGATACTGTAAGATTTTGTAACCCAGTCTAATTTGTATTTGATCCAACGATGATCTGCTTTTTTGCAACACCTCTTGTCGATTACCACATCAAGCGATGCCCCTGTTTTTGCGCTTGCACATTGTTTCGTCCTCGTATTTGTTATTTTTGTTATTCCCAATATATATTCTTCTAGTCTGTGTTGCGCAGTTTGCAGTTTGTTAATAGTTTTCAGTCGTAGGGTTTACGTTTTACATCGGGCGTATTAAAGCAAGGATCAGGCAGCATTAAAAGTAAGTCTATGAAGATCTGACTTATTTTTCTAACATTTAACGTAATTTGACCTTATGCCTGTTT